CCCCCCCCCCCCCCCCCCCCCCCCCCCGGTCTGTGCTTACGTGGGTGATGGTGGGCTATGGTTGGTTGGGCGTGTGTGTTGCCACAGATGGAACTCCACACTCTTGATAATCTGGTCAAATCGAGCACAGAATGTTTTCCTAACGGATACTATTTTATCCCTGTCGAAGATAAGGTAAAGATGAAGAATGCACCAACGGGCCTATCTCAGTTGGTGTACCCATGAACTGTTGAAATGTAGACCCATTCGAATCCAGATGCAATTAGATGAAGAGAATAATGTAATTCTGAATTACCTGGGACTAGTCAGTTCAGTGATGGTATCTCAAGGCCGTCACCCCTTTTCTTCTATGAAAAAAAAACGATGAGGGATGTATAAATTATAATACGATAAATCACAAATTCACAATCCTTGCCTCATTCATTTCATCTTGAAGATAAGGCTAAGTAATACTAATATATTTAATAATCTAAAGATAAAAAGGGATAAGGTAAAAATGCAAGATTGAGTACGATTCCTTGTGTCATTCATCCATTCCTGCCCCTGTTAAATATTTGTGTTGGAAATAAAAATAAAAATTGTGGTGGTGTTTGAGAAGCGTGGTGTTCAATCATGGCTTATCTAAGTGATTATGGTTGTTTTTCTTGTTGGCTTGTTCTGCTTTGTCTTTGTTGTGGCGATTTTTAGATTTTCTCCTCTCTTCGAGAAGTAGTCACCAGTCAAGTTGAGTCAATAGAATAAGAAATAACAAGAACGTAGACTGAGTGAAACATGACCAAAGTGAGGAAACAGATGGTGGCCACAGACTCACTAATGACAGAGGCCAGATTACAACCACAATGATGAGACCAGAGAGGGGTCTAGGGCAACGTCTATGTCCATCCAGATTACAACCACAACGATGAGACCAGAGAGGGGTCTAGGGCAACGTCTATGGGTAGAGGAGTGGATCGGGGCCCCCGTACGTTTGCTGATAATAGGCTAGAACCTGTAGGTTGCAATTGCAGAGGTATAACGATCAATGTAACAACTTGGGGGGCCAGGAATGGGTCCTCCTATGGGGCTTGTAGAAGAATGTCTACGCCTACCGCTAGTGCTTGAAGTACCTGTATGACAGGGCTCATCTGACTATGCTGCAATCAGGGCTGAGGGAGCCAATAATAATAGCACTTCTAGGTCCTGCTTAGCCCTTCTGCCTACAACCACTGTCTGGTCAGGTCACCTCGTCAAGATGATAGGAGGGTGATCATCCTGAGTGGTAAACACTGAGGTACAATTGTGGGAGTGGGGGTGCGCCAGGGAGAAACAATGAGAGTAGATGTATGGGAGGGAGTCTCATAAGGAACAAGGGCCTATATATAGAACGTCTGGATAAGCAAATGGCCAACTACCAGGGACTGTCATATGCCTAGCATCCAACCTCTACAACAACCTGGACTTTCTGGTCGTGGTGGGGGGGGGGGAGGGGACCTGTCATGTTGGTACTTGGTGGTAGCCCATCGTGTTGTGTGCTGTAGAACTTGTCCACAGGAAAACAGGATGTAATCAATAATGGTGAAAACATTTACTTGATGACTTCCTTCCCAATTCTTGTCGTTTTCTCTGTTTCTGCCCTATGGTCAACTCGACAGTTCTCTGTGAGTGCATATAGTCTGCTTCAGTTATCGTCATTCTTTCTCTTGAAAGAGAGAATAGCGTGCTTGGCTGCTGGATATAGGTCTGTTTGGCATAGAGTTTAGCGTTCCCTAAGCAGATTTACAATTCAGTTCTTGCAAGGTATCAGTTGTCGGGCGGTCATTTATGCTTAATCACAACTGGGGTTAAGGTGGATTATCAGTTTCAGTATCATCCAGTAGGGGACCCTGCAGACTGTAGAGGCTTCAGCCTCCTGATGAGTGGGTGAAACTCTGATGAAATGGTCTGTCACAGTCCCTTGTTTGTTGTCCTCTTCTCTGACCCTGGAGACTGCAGAGGGTTCAGCCTCCTGACGAGTCAGTGAAACTCCGACGGAACAGTCTGTCACAGCCCCTGCCTACGGTTTACTTGGCAGTTCTGTTTGATGATATACACTTTCACTTGGCTTTAGCCACCATCGTCCCTGTCAGAATCACTGCAATGACATGGTTTCTGCATCCATGTATGTGGAGGGCTGTCTGAAATGAACCCAGTCAGATGAGAAGCTCATGAATGTCGAAATACAAGTCTGACTTAGCACAGCATTAATATCTCCAAAAATCGTTTATGAAGCCATGCCTGACTTACATGTAGTCTCCCAATGTCTCGAACTCGGAGAAGAGAGTGAGGAAAGGGGGAGAAGAGAGGACGAGGAGAAGAGTTTCCACAAGAATCAATGAAGCAGACGTCCCTCCTCGAGCGCACTTCCTCCACAGGCATCTCCCTCACTCGCCACACCAGCAATACAGTTCTCCTCTGACTATCTGTGACATATACAACGTACAGGTCACAACAGGGTGCCCATCCTTGATCCACACCAGCAGCAATCAAGGAGGATGGCGCAGATCTTCCCCTTTGAGACGAGTAGCAAAGCACGCACGACGTCACAGGTAAGTCCAGATAAGCTTCTTCTTATCACATACACCAATCTCAGTTCAAATCCTCCTCCTTGCCCACAGTCCTATCAGTGTTGAAATCAATGTGGCTATGGCCACTTCAGCATAATCTCCCTCAAGACTGGCACCCACACTCAGAATCTGGTGCCAGCATAAAGCTCCAGCAACCTTGCGTCGAAACACCAGCGACAAGCCAGCGCCAAGCAGAATGCACACGGGAGAATGCTCTCGTCCAGGGGATGGGTCAACTTTATAGTATTGACTTGCGTTGACCAGCCTCCAGTCCTCTGGGTCGATGGCCCAGATGAATCAGCAGCCTATTTCCTGGATTCAGTGCAGTCCTGATCCCCTTTGTGTCCCAGATGGACTGGAATATTCCGGATACCTGCAGACAACCAAAGATGTGCATCTGATTGATGGCCGTGGCTGACCAGCAGGTTGACTTTGACCTTTGGGCCTGGATTCCCGTACTGGGGTTGGTCGTTGACTTTCTCAAAGTCAACTGTTCTTTGTAGGGCCTCTGAATGCTGGTCTTGGCCCTCCCCTGGGTACCCCTTGGCCTTTGTCCTTTGCCCAGGCTTTTCTTAGGCCGAGGGCGTGACCTTTCACCCCTGTGTCGGGTCTTTGACCAAAAGTGACGACCTAGGGCCCACAGATTTGAGCCGAGTTATTGCATGTCCCTCTGTTCCTGACTGCAGGCACCCTCCATATTTTTGCGGCCATGGGTGCTATACTGAATGCGTGGTCTTTTGTGGTGAGTGTTCTTCCTTCATGTTGTCCTGCAATTGAGGTGCCATTTGTCCGGAGTGTACGGTGGGCATGCTCAATGCCAGCTGTCGTGGCAGTGGTTGTATTGAGAATGCGCAGCTAGGTTTTCCATGTGCTCATCCACGTCATCCTTACAATGTGTGTCCTCTCTGTCGTCAAGGACATTCTTGAACCTTCTTATTCTCTCCTTTGCCTTCATCTTCATTTGACGCTCAGTGCTTTCCCTTTCCCTTTTCCATTCTTTGCTTTTCTCTTCATCTCTCTTCCCTGTGTTTATCACGTCGCCCCTTACTCTGCCTCTTTCTCACAAAGTACAAGTTGGCCGTTATGGCACACAGGGATGCAGGCAGCTCGCACTCAACTCATCAACGTGGTGAGCCTTGTACGTGAGAGGCACGTTGAAGGGGGAGTCGAAAGAAGAAAGAGAAAAATGAATGGTTTCAGTGTCGCCCCCATGTTTGTCTTGTTTATCGATCTTTACTGTTTGTTTCACGAAGTGCGCTCTTTTAGTTCATAGTTATGTGACAATATATATGTGTATATGAATGGTTTCGGTGTGCTCTTGATGTTTGTCTTGTGTGTGACAGGGTTTCACCCAGTTCGCACAATATTGCAGACACCAAGACTCGATCCCATACCTCCCCATCCCACTGTATAGTTGCCCGTTGACCCTGTGTGTTCTGAACCCACGACCTGTCCCTAAAACCGTGTACACATGTTTTGTGTGTGTAGCTTGGGTCATGTGAACTTGATCCATAGGTTAGCTGTTTAGGAGTCCTGACGGTCGTCTGTAGGTCCTCTGAAGGGTCACTAGGTCGTGGCTAGAACAGTCCTCGAAGAGTCAACTTGACCTTTTGTAGACTGAAGGGGCAGTTCGTCGATCTCTGAAAGGCCAAGAGTCCCAAGTCAAACACCGAAGGGGCAAGCGAAGGGGCAGTCCCAGTCCAGTCCGTTTTTGCAGCAAGTACCAGAGTGGGACCGCACATCTCGAGGGCCTGGGACATCCATCGGCAGGCCCAGACCACCAAACGAACAGTATAAATAAAGAGGCAGCGATCAGTCAATCACTTATTTTCTGGGAAACTACATGAAAGCGTTGCCAGAGTGACTTGTGCGTTGAGTTCGCCGGTGGTCAGTAAGAAGCCTGAAGGTGGAAGAGGGCGAGCGGCCATAGCCGCTAGTGAGAAAGAAAACAAAAACGGCCAATGTGGCCAGTGGGACAGAGTCAGTAGTTAGTAGTTTGTATGTGTGTGGACATTCAGGGTAGATCCTAGTGCGTGTGTACGTGTGTGCGAGTGAGTGTGAGAGTGTCTGATGGTGGATACAGTATGTGTACCTGTGTGCGAGTGAGTGAGAGTGTCTGATGGTGGATACAGTATGCAGGTGGGAATTCAGACTGGCGCTCAGACGCCATAGCTGCAAGATGTTACAAGTTGACTTCAGAGCTCTCCCTGGCTGAAGGCCATATCTCTGAGTTTTCTGTGTGGGTTCACTGCGCCATCTCACTCTTGTTGCTGATCCTTCTTTGAGAAAGTTGTTTCGCCATCGGCATCTGCATGTATGCAAGTTGAGAGTGAAGTCCAAGACGAGTCTGATTTCATGGTTTTTTTTTTTTTTTTTTTTTTGAACAGTTTGTTTCCCAAAGCCCCGCTCTTTTAGGACATGCTCACATTAGGCCCTTATAGTCACAGAATTGCAAAATCAGCGGCCAGATTGGGTGCTTCTGAAAGGAGCGCTCAATCTGGCCGATGAACTTGCAAATCTGTGATTTCAAGGGTGCATTGTGAATACACTCTTAGTTCATAAATATGTGACAATATATTATAAATAGACAGGGTGGGCGGCGTTCGGTTCGGGCTGACCGCCCGAACCCGAACTCCCAACCGTTCCCCCCCAAGCCACGTTCGTCCCGAACGCTACATTTATTGTTTTTTTAACTTTTTTTTTTTAACGTATTGCAGGGGGGGCTCTCCGAACTCCATATTTTTCCATTAAAAAAAAGACGCATGGAGGCAGGTTGCATGCTGAACCACAGGAACCCCTCCCGCTGTGTCCTTGTGTGTGTGTGTGCATGGGGGGTGGACAACCTCCCGGCTACCGGCCAATCATATTAATCAATCAATCAATAAAAAAAAACAAAAAAGTTGAAAAACGAAAAAAGGCCTGAACAACGACGTGCGTGTGTGTGTGTGTGTGTGTGTGTGTGTGTGTGTGTGTGTGTGTGTGTGCACGGGGGGTGGGCGACCCCCCCGGCCAATCAATCAGTGTGAGGATTGAGCCCTCAAGAAGGGGCCTTGCCATGGTGTACATGTTCTGGGCTAAGGCCCCAGCAAGCCTAGTGCCCGCCGTAAGTGAAGGCGGGCCAGCAAATCAACAAGAGCCCTATGTGCCAACGTTTCACGAAGTGGGGTCTATACAGTTGCAGCACGCCAGTTGGTTGGAGTGCACCGAGTCTCGGATTTCAGCAAATGCTGAAATGCCCAGGGCCTCTGAGTTAGTTAGGCCCTGGGCACTCGAACGTGAGGCCGACAATGCATGCTGGGTAGAAAGGCCGAAAATGCCGAAGGAAAATCGGCCCACTATCTGAATCTGGCCACAGGCCTTGATGAAAGAGGCGCAACTGCATTGCCCCGGGGCCCAACTGTATCGGGTAGGCTGAAGCCTCTGGGTCCCGGTCACAGGCTGAAGGAAGGCAGCCCACACGCTGCACTGGCATATAGGCAAGCAGGGCGAGTGGGCAAGGAGCTTGACCAATGCTGGCATTGCRGGCATGCTGCGCGGATGCATGTGTGMTGTGCTGTGCAGAGCAGTGCTGCGCTAAGGTGAAGCAGGCCAGCGCTAGGCGGTAGGGCGYTGCCTSCATGCAAGGCACTGGCGGCCATAGCCGGGCCGCATGAGGGTGCAGGAGAGGTGAAGGGCGAAGGTGGTCTTCGGAGGTGAAGGGCGCTGTGTGGGTAACAAGGGAGAGTGTGGGGAAGAGGACACCTGGTGGAGGTGGAGGTCGGCATTGGTGTTGACATCATCACTCGCTGGTAGTCAAGTTGTCTGGTTGCTTTCATTGCTGTAGTTGTAGGATAGGCTGTAGAGTAGATAGGGCGCCTGGAGCCATTCACAAGAGAGAGCTACATTTGGGTTATGCTGTTGGTGTTGCCCTGTTGGGCATGGACATTGACTCACGATTCTTCTGTATCGTTCTCAATTGGATGGTTACTCGGTTCCATTGTACTATCTGCTTTGGCTTGGACTACTTGGACTTCGGTGTGATTTTGCATTCTGGATTTCTGTGCTTTGTCCATACTCATGTTCCTTGCAATTTGGTATCGGAGCTGGTTTGATCGCCACTTACCTTCGGCATGCTGGCGTTATACAGACTTGGTGCGTTGATGATGCTTCTTTGCAGTTGGTACTTATGACGTCAGGCCATTAATAGGTGCACGCCCTGGGTAGAGAGGGGTGCGCCGGAAGGCTGGTACGGCAGTGTATGTCGTGGGATACAGCGGAATGTTTGATTGATGATGAGAGCATGCTGATGTGGCATTGGACTAAGGTGGCACTGCATTGCGTTGTGGGTGGTACCGAGGTCATGACCGGTTATCAAATGCAACATCAGCTCAATTGGTGAGAAATCTGTGGTTGGGGGCAGCTATCTCCAGGTATGTTGATCCCTTACCTTATCTACCTTCTCAAT